TGGGACAGGTTGCCCAGGGAGGTGGTTGAGGCCCCTTCCCTGGAGATATTCAAGGGGAGGCTCGATGGGGCAACCTGGTCTAGTTGGGGGTGTCCCTACTGACTGCGGGGGGGTGGGACGAGAGGACCTTTGGGGGTCCCTTTGGAGGCCTGGGCAATTCTATGATTCTGTGACCATCACCTGCAGCACCCCCCCCCCCCCAGCCCCGGGGTGAGGGGACAGTCCCCGGGGGGTCCCCAGGCAGCACCCCCCACCCTCAGGACCTTAGACTGGAGATGAGGAGAGGGTTCTTCACTGGGAGGGTGGTGGAGCACTGGGACAGGTTGCCCAGGGAGGTGGTTGAGGCCCCTTCCCTGGAGATATTCAAGGGGAGGCTCGATGGGGCAACCTGGTCTAGTTGGGGGTGTCCCTACTGACTGCGGGGGGGTGGGACGAGAGGACCTTTGGGGGTCCCTTTGGAGGCCTGGGCAATTCTATGATTCTGTGACCATCACCTGCAGCACGGCGTTGATGAGCAGCAGGTCGTCGGCGGGTTTCCAGCGACCCAGGTCCTTCGTCACCTGCAGGGACTGTTTGCTCTTCTTCATCCGCTTGGCGAGGCCGGGGGTCGGGACCGGGCTGGGCGCGATGGGGGTGGACACCGACTTGGAGACCTGGGAGGGCAGAGATGGGGGTTTCTTTCTTCGGGGCTCCCCCCAGACCCTCCTGGCCGACCCTCGGATGTCCCCCCTCAGCCCCTCACCTTCTTCTTCTCACTGGAGGAAGGCTCGCTGCCCGAGCAGCGCCCGGGCTCTACCCCACCGGCGCCCTTGGCCCGGCTGGAGGACTTGGCGAGGCTGCTCTCTACCAGCTCATCGTCAAACTTCTTCCGCTTGATGAACCTGGAAGGAATCACAAAATCACAGAATCTTAGTGGTTGGAAGGGACCTTCAAGATCATCTTGTCCAACCGTCAACCTCATTTTGACAAAAATAGACACCCCCACAACAAACAAGGAGCATCATCACTAAACCAGACCTCCCAGCACCACATCAACCCGGCTTTTGAACACCTCCAGGGATGGGGCCTCAACCACCTCCCTGGGCAGCCCATTCCAAGGGCTGAGAACCCTTTCAGGGAAAAAATTTTTCCTAATATCCAGCCTGATGATCTTTAAGGTCCCTTCCAACCTAGAAGATTCTGGGATTCTGTGAAATCTTAGCTAAGTCACAGGGCAGATTGCACAGATACGACCCTTTAGCCATAAACCGTTGACCAACTCTAGGACCAGGATTGGATCCAGCTGCACCCAGACTGTTTTGGGGAAGGAGTTTAGAAAAGCCGGGGGGGTCCTTTCTGAACCTCAACGGGAAGCTCTTCCCGACAGCGCAACTGCCCCCGTCCTCTGGGCAGGAAATAACAGAGAATCTCCTAAAACACCATCGCGTTTACTGCTGGTTTTGCTAAATCGCTGTTACCTTAATAACCCTTTCACTACTTCTCTCTTACGGGTGAAATTAATTAATTAATCACTTCGATTAACCTCCCACCTACCGCGAGGAGCTGCGGCGCTTGGGGATGGCTCCCGAGGCCTGGCCCGAGCCCCGCTTCTGCCCCGCCAGAGACTCCTCGTCCTCGGAGCGGCTCGTCGCGCCCGACGCCATCAGTCCGGAGAGCAGCACGTCTGCGGGGGGGGGACAGGGGAGATGGGGGGCCTGCACCCCCTCACCCCCCGGGAGAGGTCACCCCGCGGGGCAGCCGGGCCCCCCACCTCCCCATTGCAGGTGGGGGTGCGGTTTGCAGGGGATCGGGGGGGGCTCCGGCCCT